TTTGAAATGTTTATAGATGTTATATGAATTTTTTTTTAATTTTTTGAATGAAAATGATCCTATGATTGTCTGTCTAACAATTTCACGAATAAAGTTTTGTTAGAAAATGTACAAAATAGATCTTTCTATGTGAGTTTTTGATAAAAAATATATATTTTATAATTGAATGGATTAAAATTGATCTTAAACGAAAAAATCTCAAATTATAATGCTGATTACTTAATAAACATGCAGAATAGTAAAGTAATGCGATTGATATTGTAAAAATTTATGTAAGATTCTTCGAAATAATTCTTTTGAGAAGTTATACACATTGCTAAAACAATTGAAAATCATTGAAATTGCTTCAATCAATCGATTATATGAATATTGACTCAAAATTGCTTTTGATTTTTGAAACAGATATATTTAAATTAGGAAAAAACATAAAAATTGTAATACTAGAAAAATATATTTGACCAAATTTAATTGAAATTCGCATAATATTAATATCACTGCTTTACATCTTCATAATACATAAAACTCTTTGCCAAATCATTTGTTATTTTAATCTTAAAAGATTAATATCTTAAAATTTATATTAGAGACAAAGAGATATAATGAAGTTAATGGCAATTTACGAAATGTGTAATATTAAATTTATTTACTCTTATTTTTATCAAATAATTTGAAAAATTATGTTTAAATAGATTCGTAATAATAAAAATAAACAACCTTTACTCCAACATTTTCATTTTCCTGTAAACCTAGATTTTCTGAATGAATATGTTTCAATCGGATATCCAATGATTTTCCAATAAAAAAAAAGAACTATGATCTTTTTCTTCAATTATAAATTATCTCCCCGAGATAACATAATATCCAAAATCTTCAAATTGGATGGAAAAAACGATTATTATTAATTGTTTCTAAGATTAATTAAAACTTTCTAACACAACTATAATATACTTAAAAAAAAAAAAGCATACGAGATCTTTCTCTTCAATTAAATCTTTAACTTCAAAAAAATAATTCTCCACTACACGCGAAATCAATGTTTCAAAATTCGATTCTCATCTATTCGACAGGGATGAAGGAAAATTTCCCAGGATCCTATATCCCCCTTCCCAGGGGGGAGAGGGGGAGAGGGAGAATACTCGAGGAAAGTAGAGTTACTCTCGCGAAACGAGGACGCGGATACCTGAAAGAGTCGCGCTCGGTCGCGACCCTTCGCCATCCCCGTCGTCAATGAAAAAAAGCGGCCGAATATCCCACTCCAAGTGCCGATCGCTCGTCACCTCGAGGTCGAGAGGTTCTAGGAACCGTGGATTGGCTCCTGGGGAAGCGCGACGACGCGGTAACAGGCGTGGATTGGTCGTAGGGCGAGGCTTGCGTCGTGACGGAAGCGTCGTCGGGCGTCCCGCGTCCAACCTGGATCTCGTCTAAAGCTCCACCTACATGTCGACCCGCGAAACTCGAATTTCGAAGCTTGGAATGAGCTCGTTCCAACGCGTCGTTATCCTTTAAGGGGTTGGAGCGGAAGGGTGAGAGTAAATAAGCAAACGAGAGACGAACGAACCTCTGCTATTTCTTCTCCTTTTAATCTCATCTGAGTGCACTTCCATGAGAATTTTCCAGCCAGAAATGCTTTCTCAACTGAAGAAAGAAGATAAGATCTTGTAGGAAGATATAAACAATATTTAATTGCAGTACATAATTTTCAAATTCAAATATTCTCGATATTGGTCAGATTCACAGATACATTGTTATCATCGTGTCTTTCGACGAGAGCAATGTATTAGAATTTTTCATTCAAAAATCCGAATAATAGGTAATTTTCAAATTTCTCCTCTCGAGTATCGACACCAATTTATCCTTGGAAAAGATTTTCCATCTATCTTCACTCTAAAAAAATATTGGAAGGATATCGACGAGAGCAATGTATTAGAATTTTTCATTCAAAAATCCGAATAATAATGGAGTATATAATTTTCAAATTTCTCTTCTCGAATATCGACATCAATTTATCCTTGGAAAAGATTTTCCATCTACTTTCACTCTAAAAAAATATTGGAAGGATATCGACGAGAGCAATGTATTAGAATTTTTCATTCAAAAATCCGAATAATAATGGAGTATATAATTTTCAAATTTCTCTTCTCGAATATCGACATCAATTTATCCTTGGAAAAGATTTTCCATCTACTTTCACTCTAAAAAAATATTGGAAGGATATCGACGAGAGCAATGTATTAGAATTTTTCATTCAAAAATCCGAATAATAGATAATTTTCAAATTTCTCCTCTCGAGTATCGAGACCAATTTATCGTTCATCCTTGGAAAAGATTTTCTTCACTCTAAAAAAATATTGGAAGGATATCGACGAGAGCAATGTATTAGAATTTTTCATTCAAAAATCCGAATAATAGATAATTTTCAAATTTCTCCTCTCGAGTATCGAGACCAATTTATCGTTCATCCTTGGAAAAGATTTTCTTCACTCTAAAAAAATATTGGAAGGATATCGACGAGAGCAATTAGAATTTTTCATTCAAAAATCCGAATAATAATGCAGTATATAATTTTCAAATTTCTTCTTTCGAGTATCGAGACCAATTTATCGTTCATCCTTGGAAAAGATTTTCCATCTACCTTCACTCTAAAAAAATATTGGAAGGATTGGCGAGGGAGGAGAAAGAACGAAAATTGCGAAGTCGTCGCGATCGACGAGAGTGGAGGGATGTTTGGCTGGTGGGGGTGGTTGGCATAGAAGGGGAAGATGGCGCGCGCGCGGGTGGAAAGGGAAAGAAGGAAGCTGGCGGCGAAGTGGCCGCGGACTAATTCGAAAAATAAGTCCCCGGGAGCGACAAGCACACTTGACCGAAGCACGCTCGCCACGGAAGGGTGCGCCACGCCGTGTGCCCTCTCGAGTGCTCGCGAGTGACAATTAATAAAACGCCGTCGCGCCACGTCCATCGTTGCTTCCTCCTACTCCCTGCACGGGTACAAGTTGTACCAGTCGACTCGTGACCACCACCGTGCGTACACCAGAGGATAGTGAGATTTTACGATGACGATTTCCTTTTTTCAAAGAAATTAAAAAGAGGGAAAATATCTGTAAGAACGATCGAATGTGCGCGGAGTCCGAACGAGCGAGAGTAAAGTGTCGAACGATGTGTCGAACGAGGGATTGATCGATGAAAGTGAAGAGTGTGAGAAACTTGATCGAAGGGATGGAACAAGATAAAAAATCGTTGATCTCGAGTGAAGATTTAGAATAGAAGAGGAAGAGATTTTTAAATAGAACTGTTTTATCTGATAACAGAAAAATGTCGGATATTATAGAGGACGACAAACGAAGCGAAGCCTCCCCAAAACCCTCCTCCCAATTGACTCCCTTCAGCATCGCAGACATACTCAGCAGAAGAACTTCTTGCGCTGAGCGACGAGCCTCGGAGTCGGAAGAGGCGCGAGTCGCGACGTCGTTCACGAGGAAGCCCCATCGAGAGTACGACGAGAACGAGCACAAGGAAAGTCAGTCGGAGGATCGTAATCAGATGGCGAGATTCTCGAGGCTACCTTCGCCGGATCTGAGCGTGGCCCGAGAATTGGACATCCTGACGAGGAATCTGGTCCACGCCAACATCTCTAACTTCGGGACTATACCCCACTTGGCGCAGGGAACGTTCAAGCACCTCGAGAATCTAGGAAACATGGGTGGTTATCAGCCGGTGAAGGACTCGAGGGAAGCTTTGCAGAGGCAGCAAGACGAGGCGTTGGACATGAGCAAGAATAAATATTTGGGTGAGTTGCGAGAGTAATAACAAGCTTGTTTAATCAAGAAATGTTTGTTTCTATAATTTAATGCCTCTATTGCAAAAAAAGGAAAGGAAAGGAAAGTTCAGAGTGTCCAAGACAAATTTTTCTAGGATAATTCGTTCGAATTTTCCCTGTTCTATATTGTATTTATATCCAGGGATGGGATAACTAGAAGCAAAATTACGAGGTCTGCAATCGGCTCGCTCTATCGATGGCGATAACCAGATACGTAGAACTGAATGAACGAGAAGAGTAAGGAGCCGAGGTCCACTTAGAGTGGAAATCTCGAGGCCGCTTCCCTTCTGGGTGATCGTGTGTCTGCCACGAGGATGCGAGCTTAAGAGATCATTTAAGCCCCCGGTATCCTTGTAACAGGCGAGCTTTTCAAGGGTTTTTTAAGTTAACCCGAGCGCAGATAACGTGATCGAATGTAATTTTAGTAGCATAAGTGGTGCTCGAGTACGGCAGACGTCACAAGTGGCCGGCCACTCTGCTTCTTGCACTTGTTCGATCCCTGGCCACACTGTTGCTCTGTCTTGGATCCTCGACGATCCCTGGATCGCGGCAAAAAAACAAATTTAGATCAAGGTTACCTAGATCGATTCCAAAGAAGTGACTTTTTCTTACCACGTAATCGTTCGAATAACGAACGTATTTTAGTTCGTTCGATTTCTCTTTCGACTCGATGTGATGTTTCCGATAATTTAGAAAATTTTTTCACAACAACAGAAAGAAATTAATGAAAACGTTTTCCTTCAGTACCTGAAGTTTGTTTCGCTCGTCGAATGATTCCTTCGCTCGTTCGAGGGTGAAGAGGAACAGGCACGAGCTGGCACCATTTCAAGGCTCACTCACGAAATTACCGAGTCCCCCGCCACCGTGCTCTCGAGTCACTTAATACGGTAATGGATAGGATATTCGAAGCCTCGTTCCTTAAACCCAGTTTCCAATACAAAAGTACGGTTAAATTTCGTGTTAAATTTCATGTTAAAATCATTATCGAAAAGGATCGGGGAACATTTATCTTGAAACTGAAGTTTGTGTAAAGAATTAATCGAAATATAATAAAAAGGAGGATTCGGCAATAAGGGGGGAGAGGGGATAAAGTTTCGTTTGATCAGCGTTTAACGGGCCATATCAATTTATTTGAAAACGATGAGCGGACGCTTCATTCGGTTTGAGGTGCACCCCGAAGGGTCATCTCTCTCCGATGTAATCGGAGTGAGAGCAAACGGCACTTGCTGCTCTCGAACACTCTCGATGTAGGACGCGTAGGAGATGTTTGACGAGCGTCAGAGGAGGGACGCATTAGCCGAGACGAGATGGCATAGAGTTGACGTCGAAAGTGATCAAATATAGATCTCTCTAAATGCCTTCGAGTCCCCCCATTGGACCGGCCATTGCCGATAAACATTGACGCAGGACCCGGAATATACGAAATAATTATGATGTCACGTGGATATGATTTTTCAACCAATGTGTTTTTCTTCAATCTTTTTAATCACGTTCGAATCTTCTCTTTCTTTTCTCTTTTCTTCGTTTGACTTCGTTCGGTGGAAATTTCATCGATTTTATATCTTCTTCGAATCCTCGTTTCTCTTTTCAGATTTTTATATGATTTAGATGTAGATGGAATCTACAGTTTGAATATTTTAAAGTTTTGAATAGAAGTTTGACGAGTTTAATTCGTTAATGAAATCGAGACAATAATTTTGGTAAATTTAAATTTTGTATTTACGAGTATTTAATGAGGTTATAATATTAAGTATCGTTACATTTGCTTAAATGTTTTAGAAAATATCAGAATTCTTCAAAACTATTAGTAAATTGCAATTTTGTTATTTTATAAGTTTATTTATTTATTTATTTATTCTTTAATGAATGTAATATAACATTTTAATATCTTAATCATTTTAATATTATTTTAATATTATTGCACTCGTTTCATAGAAATAAATAAATTTTTATGATGATTTATTTTTGATCGGTGCATTAAAATACTAAATCTGATACATGTGTAAAATTTCAAGTTAAATCGATACTCAAGAGGTTAAGCGCCATCATTTAAGCAAGTTTCTTAATTCCTAGTTTTAGAGCTGAAAATAATTCATATCTCTCGATAAATTTATTTTAATAATTTAATATTAAAAAATATAAATATAAATTGAAATAAAATTTAAAATTTAAAATTTGCATTCTTTGGAAAATGAAAATAATTGTTTTATTAAAAAATATTACATAATGACTTTCGATATCTTTGCTTTTTTTTTTTTTCTTTTTATTTAATTAATATTTTATTCCTTATTTCATCGCTTTAATTTTCTTATATATATTACGTATTAATATATTTTTCTGCTTTGTGCAATAAATTTAATTGAGATTGGAAAAGTATCGATCATTTAAGAAAAATTATTTAAAAATAAATCTATTTTGTCAATCCTCCTTCGTTTCCTTAAATAGAATTTTCTTTTCATACTTATTATAGGAAATATATATAATATACTTATAAGCAATATTAGAAAAATCAAAATGATTGATCAATATTTTTCTAATCCTTTTGATGAGAACATTATAAATATAAATTATTAAATAATTAAATATAATATTAAAAATAATAAAATTATTTCATTAATATGGGAAAAAATTTGTTTAATTTATAAAGTTATTATTTTTTAAATATATATTCACAAAATTAAAAATAAAACAATAAAATTAAAATAATATTTTCGGTTTTTTATTTTATTATTTCAAAAAGTTTATATTTATATTATTGTTTATTAAATGTTTCAACTATTATAAATTGTTGTATATATTTTTTTTTTTAATTAAATTTTAACACATCAATTGCATATTGTAGTTATTATTATTTTAGTTAGTTTTATCTATATAAATATAATATAATAAAACGATTAGAATACATATAATTCAATCATCATATTGAATCAAGATTTTGAAAAAATGTAGAGAAAATAGATCTCCAAATATAAAATTTTATCTTGGATAATTTTTATTTTAGGAATCTTCAACTCACTCTCTCAAAATTTCAATATAATTATTGGATTATATCGTATTTTATCCAAGATAAAAGATTAAATACAATAAATGATGTAAAACAGTATGTCTCTCGTTCATTTTTTATGAAAAGTGACGCTCATTATAAACTTTTATAATAAACGCAATATCCCAACGTTTATTCATCCGATATATCTACTATCAATATACAGGGTGTTTGCAGAAAAAGGGAAAATAATTCAACAGGTGATTTTAGAGAACAAAACAAACTTCAAGTTATAAATAATTTAATTAAAACGAGAAAATAAAACCGTCTCACTTTATTTATTTATTTTATCTAATGCAGAATAAAATTATTTATAAGAATAATAATAAAGAATCTTTAAATTTTCTTCCCATTTTGTTCAAATACGCATTGCGTTTATTAAAGTCATTCAAGTTATTGAACATTATTGTTCATAGAGAATAAGCAAGAAATATATAAGGATTTATATTACAAATGAGATTATTAATTCTGATATCTAATTACCCTTGATTTGTAACTTTGTAACGAAATTTCTGTCTATACTAATTATGTAAATAATCATTTTTCTTATATATCCTAATTTCCGTGCAAGAGAAAACTATCTCATACAGAATTTTTTAAAATGTTCGTAATTGTTATACATAAACATAATTTCTTAAAAAATGATAAAATCGAAATATGTTTTATAACAAAATATCATTTATTGCAAAATATTACAGGACAATGATGAAGTAAAAAATATAAAAATATGAAATTTAAATTATAATTATAATAATGTCATTTTTAATTATTTACGAGATTATTCGATAGAATCTTCAAAATCCATATAAAAAAATATATTTTATTAAACTAAAAATACTTCTAAATAAAATATTTTACGATAAAAACATTTTTTCCATATGTATTATCTTCATATTAATAAATTTACATTAAAAAATTGCAGTCTCAATTACGCAATTTCTATCGAAACACTGTTTTCATTTATCTAATAACGTTACCATTGTGGCATAGCTCTTGCATTGAACCATTCAATTTATATTCTATTGAAAACGATTGTTGTTTCTACTAAACAACTAACGTTCAGTAATTTCCCCCCACTTGAATATTAAGAATAGACGAAACAAAACAGATTGACAAAAATAAAACAATCCATTAAAGTATTATTCCAATATTATTTCCCCTTCTTTTTACATTCTTCCTAACAATTATTAAACATTATGAATCGAATGCAACGTCCAAAAAAGATATAAAAAACGAATAATCCGAGATAAAACGCCGCATAAAAACGGGCCAAATTTCTCCTAAGTTAAAAGCTTATTCTCCGCCTCGAGAGAGGCGGAATGATCGGCTCGTAGAATTTTCGTGGAGCCGTTGGCGAACGCGATTGCACTCCACTGCAACCGGTTAAACTTAGAGGAGAATTACCGTGGAACAGCAGCGTAAACATGTCGGAGTAGCGAGTGCACGTGTTAATGTTTGAACGAGACATCAAAAGCGGGCGGAACTCTCTCCGCCGCTTCTATGGCTGCTGTCTGCCGATGGTTATTCGTTTTCCCCACCCAACCACCCCCTCATCGCCTCGTTCCGGTCGAAAACGTTTGATTTATGATCGCGGTAGATCATCCTTTCCCGATCTAACGCGTTTGTTTGTACGGGAATTTGGAGAAGCTCGCTCGGATTTCCCTCTGTAACTCGAGTTTGTTTCCAACTGGATGTTTCGCCCATCCATCTCGGTTTCGATCTCGCGCCGATGTGCAACATCTCTTCACCTCACGAGCTCGATGATTATCGTCGTCGAAGGTTAAACGTTTGATATTTTTATTACAGAGGACGGAGAGGAGGATATGTACGAGGCCCAGAATCACGGGCAGAATCTTCAGAGCAGGAAGAAACGGAGCAGAGCGGCGTTCTCTCATGCGCAGGTTTACGAATTGGAGAGAAGATTCGCGGCGCAGAAATACTTGTCGGGCCCGGAACGAGCGGACCTGGCGCGGGGATTGAAGCTGACCGAGACCCAGGTCAAGATCTGGTTTCAAAACAGACGGTACGATAAAAACGATTCTTTTTCTTTCTTCTTTTTAATTTTATTCCAAGTTAATTCTAACGACTGTTAAGATACTTAGAGTTGAAAGTTGCCAATATTGTATCACTATAGATTTATTAGATATTTGTCGTAGGAATTTTATATTTTTCTTTTTTTTATTATATCAATAGTTTTATGCAATTTTTGCAATAATTCATTTGATGTAGATATAATTTTTCTAAAAGTTTTCGAAAATATTTAAAAAAGGATTCAAAAAATACGATTTAAGTGTTTTAAATCGTACCTCATTACATCCAAGATTGTTATATATTTTATTTTTCACGTTATAAATAATAAATGGCATAATTTAGAATAGGAAATTATTTATTATTGTTTATATTTATTTGTTTAATTATTTTTAAAGTGTATACAGATTTTGGTCTTTTTTGATATTTACAAGTTTCACGAATGCATAATTTATGAACAACACATTAAATCATATCTTTTATATCTTCTTCACTAGTGGTACTAAGAAACATTCTAGTGATATTTAGAGAACATTCCTGTGTGCAAACATTCTAATACGATTTACAAAACATGATTAGAAAATATTTACGATTTACAAAATATGATTAAAAAATACGTGTACATAATCTCAACACTCAACAAATAATTTTATGCAAATAAATAATATGAAATATACAAATCTAACTGATAAATAAGTGATCATAATAAATTTTATAATGTTTTTATTAGTTATATAGATTTATTTATTTTTTATAAGTATAGTTATTAATTGAGATAAATATTACACTGCCTTATTGATTATAATTTATCTTTTCTTTCTTATATTATTAATATAGCTAATTAATATATATGTATATATTTATTTAATATTTGTTAAATAAAAGTTTTTTTACAATAACTTTAATTATATTTTATCTTTAAATTATTATAGATATACAAAAAAGTTTTATTCTTTTTTTTAAAAAATATAAGAATAATTAAAATAAATAATCATTTATGAAATCTAAGATCTGTCATACTAATTCATAATTATAAATAAATATTGCTGTTTAAAAAAATTGATAGTGAACTACATTTAAGTTCATTACAAGATTTAAATAAATGTAAATGTAATTTTATTTTTATATGCTTATAATTGTATTATAATTTCAAAAATTCTTCATCTTATTTGTTATTTATACAGTTTTGATAATCAATATTTGAGAAATATATAATCATTATTTATTTTTCACTTTTGGAGATTTAATTTTTTTTTTAAATTTTATTTTTAATTTTAATTTGTTTTATGTTTGTTTCTTTAAGTATCATGTGTCTTTCTGTAGAAGATATCAATTAAAAATTGAAATAACAAATTTATTAGATTATAGAGCATTCTTATAATTATGCATCAAATGCAATAATCAAATAATTTAAAAATTTTCTATAATTCTATTTTTATATATAAAATTCTATATAAAAATATAAAAATAT